TAACCTTAAACTGCATAAACACATTTCATTACACCAAATACACAAAATAATGTTATTTTTAGCAGCATCATTTGACCCATTTAATATAAAATTTAACATCTTCTTGAAAGTAAGAGAAGTGGGGGGGTAACTTTCATAACCTTGCATTTGTGGATAAATTATTTTGCAAGCAAAATAATTAAATTGCAGAGAAAGCAAACATTTCCATATTGCTTCTCAAAAGTGAAAATTCCAAACAAAACATCCTTAAAGAAAAGCTCAAAGTCATTATGTATGAAGTTTATAATGAACTGGCAAATGTCTTGCCAAAGTTTTCTTGTATGAACACAATGCCAAAAAAGATGCAGGACAGTCTCTGGTTGTGTGTCACAAAAAGTGCAGTTCACATCTATGTTTAATTTGAATTTCGACACAATAAATGTTTTAACAGGATAGTACTGATGAATAAGCTTAAAAGAAATCTCTTTAACCTTATTTACCAATAAATACTTGTTAGGAAGCGTCCAAACCTTTTTCCACAAAATATTTTTCACTGATCCCAAACGAATCTCTACTGCACAGACTTGGGCTCCAAATGACGTCATTTACTCAAGATGGCAGCGGCCATACTGAGATGCTCTCTGGTTGCGAGTCACAAAAAGTACAGTTCACAACTATGTTTAATTTGAATTTCAACACAATAAATGTTTTAACAGGATAGTACTGACGAATAAGCTTAAAATAAATCTCTTTAACCTTATTTACCAATAAATACTTGTCAGGAAGCGTCCAAACCTTTTTCCACAAAATATTTTTCACTGATCCCAAACGAATCTCTACTGCACAGACTTGGGCTCCAAATGACGTCATTTACTCAAGATGGCAGCGGCCATACTGAGATGCTGAGACACATCGTCCATCTTTTTTTACAGTCTATGGTTGCTACAGAAACGCATAACTCAGAGCTGAGTAGAACGTAACGTGTTGTCATCTCGGAACTACACTTGATGTCTCATTGGTGGCGGTTGCTGTCAATCAATTTCACGCAGTGGTGTGGGCGGGGCAGAACTAATGTGGAAGCAACTACCTTCACGCGCGGCTATGAGTTTGAACGTTGGTAAATTCTCGGTCGTTTCAAACTGTCCACATAGAAACAAGTGCTCAAGAAAATGTGAAGCCCCTGGCGATGGTATATTACACGTTTACTTCATAAAGTCCTTTAAATTAAGTCCATTCAATTTTCTCAGCACCTGGATAAACGGGAAAAAAGTGGTAACGTGTTAAATGTAGTCATTTAGAAGTAACACATCTAGTTTAAGGACAATGTTTTGGCACTATGTGCCTCAAACTTAGGTATTATTGCATTATGTATTGTCTGCTATGAATTAAAATAGTTTAGAAATCTACAACGTGTCTTGAAACTGTAAATTAATGTTTGTGCAGAGATTGTTGTTGTTAATCTAACTCGTTCTGGGATTGATGAGTTGTAACACCAATTGAAAGAATTAACATTTTAAATTCTTTGCATAAATTGATTGTAAATTAAAGATGAAATAATTAAATTTATTTAAAATTATTATGGTTTACCCCATAGCCATCCCCATTTAATTTTGTATATTTTAATTCAGTTTGTAAATAAATAGGAAATAACAGGTTGTTAGCTTTTTATACAGTCTATGTGACTAACTCTAAAAATATAAGTACATGTGTGTATTAGTCACTGTAACAATAGTGGCAAATGTAGTATACACACTGTTGTGGTTTTTTTTTTTTTCAGCTAAGACATGATATTTCTGTTTACATAGGCACTAATTTTTAGATGAAAACCTAGTGGGGATGTTAAATCAAACTAAACAAGAAAACCTGCTGCTTCAGATGATACCAGTTTTGTCTTTTAACATTGATCTGCATCATCACAAATTAAATTATCAGATTCTTTGCTTCCCCCCTTTCCTCTCTCTCTCGCTCTCTCTCTCTCTCAAGCATACACACGCTGCAGCTGAGAGGACTTGGAATGTCGGTCTGTAGCAGATAGAGGGATGCACGCCTCTCTCAGTAGATTATCCTCACGCATATCGGTTCAGGTTACCAATCACAATGATGCAAAGGAGACGAAACACAATGGAGAACCCTTTATTCTATTCATCTCACAGCCAACATCACGGATGGATTCAAGTCTCAGGTAGGACTGTCCCGTAAGAGGGGTGGAGAGTCAGTGCTTACAGTGAGAACAAGAGGAGAAAATCTGCAACACTTTAGCTTTAGCAATACTTTCTCTAATGCAGCAAGATTTGATTACTGATTTGCACTTTTTGCCCTGAAATACCTTTTTGAGGAGTTGTGAAGGAACTTGATTTGATTAAAAAATGTAAAACAGGAAATCTACACTGAAACAGGCAAGCTAGATTAGTGTGTGTATCACGAGTAACCTCCTCAGGCAGATAAAACTGTTTTCTACGTTAGAGAAATGAGATTGGAACTCTGTGCCATGGCAACACACAGTCATTTATTGTATTTTAAACAGATGTGTTAATTGAGGCATGGCTCTACATGATACTTGTTGATGTGCTTTTTGTGCGGATCTTCTGTCAAGATCAGTTAAGAACACGGTTCAGAGAATTTCAAAGGAATTTATGATATAACCCGGAGAAAACAGCTGCCCAGTAAGTCCTTGTAGAAAAGAAACTTGAAAATAGGTCTGTTTAATACTGAGCCAATTCAAAATACTTCCATTTCAGAACAAGGATGTTGGGTTGTAGAGTTGTTGTTTGATGTGTTTTTTCACTGTATCTACAGCGAGTACAAAGAAATTGAGTGCTCATAACCTATTCCTTTTTTCTCCATTTACATACAGTACATGTTCTTACTCGTTCTGATCTCAGACATTTACAGTTGGTGGGTATTTTCTCTCCAGACAAGCACTCTGACACATGGTCATCTGCTGTGAATAATCACAATGCCAAAAATGTATACGGACGAGTCACATGATTACATACAGTAGTAACAGTGGCACATTATTTACTCATGTTGTGCTTAAAAAGTTACCAGGTTTATGCTTTATTAATTAGCAAAGCATATTTAATGCACTGCTGGTTGCATCTATAGGTTTGATACCAAAATACACATTTATGCCATCAGGTGTTAACACAGGCACACCTGTTTTAGGGGTCACTCACATAAAATGTTTTTTTTTTAAACACTTTATTAACACTCTACACTCACATCTATTGTGTTACGGTCAGCCCAGCAGTGTTCAGTGCGCAGGTTTCACTCTCCCTCTACCCATCGTGATGCCCTGCTCAATAATCCACTCTATGAATGTGCGTTCCACTCATGTACCTCTCATGCTCACCAGAAAAGCAAAGTCCGCTCAAATAACGCGCCGACAGGAAATTTCTATGTAGTATACTTGTTCCTGTTTGCAATAGTGCAACTGTGCTGAAACATGGTGTATAGCTATACTGGGCAACGCTGGAAAAATTACTCTACCCTCTCATTCACTGATCTGCTCCCCGCTATGCTCTGCTCACATGCTCCGATAATGTAGGACTATTCATTATTTGGATAATTAGTCAAAAAAAAAAGTTATCTTATTCTGTTGCACAGAACTGAATAAAAATAATATATTGACATTTAATATAAATTTTTTTTCTGCCCAATTTTTTGTATTACTTTCAATAAAAGTATGGTTATTTCATTGGCTAGTGTTTTTTTTAATTCAGTATCTATATTAAAATTGTTGAGTTAAATTAAAAAAGTCTTACAAAATTACTTTATATTATTTAATAATAAATAATGAATACAAAGCATTTTCAGTTTAAGTTTTTGGCCAAGTGCATCCAGAATTTTCATGTCGGTGCATCCTTAGACGACACAAAGAAGTGTTTTGGAAAGGATGTACAAATTTTGGTGCCTACAATGGTATTAGAGGTCAAATGGACATTAAAAATATGTGGGTTAAATTTACTCTTTTTTTATTATTAACACAATAGGAGTTCAAAATGTTTCATATTTTATATTGTTTTGGAAAACAGAGTACCCATATTTTCAACATAAAGAGCATCAACAAGTGACATGCAGGGCAGTGGAATGAAAAAAAAAACATGCAAGGTTTTTTTTAAAACTTGAATTTTTAACTTGAGTGCTGTTTTTGGAACACTGTGTAATGCACTAGAAACAAGCAAAAGAAGCAAGGTAAGCACAGCAATATCGATTGCTGTTCATTATAATGCTGTAATATCACTTTTAGCTTTTAAAATTATTTAAATTAGTTTGGATTTAGCCTTTGTATTTTATTTTAATATTGGACATAACAATCTAGTTCTTTATGAATAAGGCTGGTTGACAGTGTTATTTACTGTAGTAGAATTCCATGCTCTTTCTTTCACTTTTGTATCAAAACTATTCAATGTTCAAATCATTAGTAATCCTTTATTACTTAGTTCTGCTCCCCTAGATCCCATGTTTTTTTTTTTTAAACAGCACATAAAAGGAAGCACAAGTGTGTGCTGTGCCAGGATGTGTTTTATTAGTGGAATCTGTGTTTTTCTTGTGCATGCTCTATCTAGAGTGTGTTTGATCGTGTTTTTGTTGTGATGTGTGTGTGCTTGAGCATGTGTTCTGCAGTGCTTTCTCAGTTACTGTTTAAGAGCCTTGGGACTCTGTCACACACGGCTTCTCTTTAATACCCTGCTAATTGATTTGTCCTCTGGAAAATGTCAGTGGGTGTGAATGAAGCTCACATGCTCCCCTCAGGCTCCTTCAGGTTCTTTCCTAAAGCAGCTTTCCCCTCTCTTTAAACTAAATGACCCATCATAAATATCCCATCAATCCTTTTTTCGCTCAGGTGAACATGCTCATGAATTCCACTTCTGGTTAAATGTCACTGCCACCAAAGATTAAAGACAGGGGTTGTAATTCCAAAACAGAAATCCTCTCTTTTTGTAGCATGATGAGATGTGTGTCCTTACGTATAACAATGGGCTCATATTGTAAATTCAGATTAAACCTGAGTGTAGATGAGGGATTATTGTCTATGTAGAAAAACTAGGTAGTATTCTGGGGCCGTTTACAAAAACTTCCCATCTCGTTTCTTTTGTGGAACACAAAAGATCATGTTTTGAACTGCTACAAAACATAATATTTTGTGTTCCACAAAAGAAACACGATGACTTTGGAACAAGATGAGGGTGAGTAAATTATGAAAGAATAATCTTTTTTTATATGAATTTTCATATATATATATATATATATATATATAAATGAACTTTAATTTTTGGGTGAATTATTCTAAATTAGATCCTGAAAACACCATGGTTACTAACCAGATAAAATAAGATTCTGAGTTGTTGGGATGCTTCTGTAATATGGTCGCTGAAAGTTACTACACTCATTGAAGATTCACTTCAGAGCATGAAAATAAATTCAAGATTTCCCAACATGGAAAATTCTTGAGCAATCATTTAATTTGCAGATGTTTCTTATGCAGTCAGTCAGGCTTTACCGGTCACTTTCTGCAAATCTGTATATTGAATTACAGTAAGTATTAGAAACTAGCTGTGTACTTTGTGAACCGAGTGACATATAATCATATTGTAACTTTCACTTATGTCATTTGGAAGAGGACATAGGTGATGTAACGTAGGGTCATCAATCAGATGTGTAGCAATTGAGATATTAGACACACATGCGTGAATTGTACATACATTGTGACTTCACCATGTATATTGAATTTGAATAATAAATATTAAAGTGGTGGTTGATCAACTTTTTTCGAAGGATTTATTGTGTTTATGGGGTGCAGTGTAACATGCGTTCATGCTTCGTTTAAAAAAAACACATATTTTACCTTTATTCTACACCGCTGTTTCCGTTCTCATCAAAGCGGTCTGTTGAGCTCCTGGTTCTATGAAGCCCCTCCCTCAGAATTACACAGTCGGGCTCAGACTGGTTAGCTGGCCCAGTGTGTTGTGATTCTCTAACCCAGTGTTTCCCAACCTTTTTTTAGTCGCGGCACCCTTTGGAAATTTTAACAAACTTGTGGAACCCTACA